TTATTTACTGCAATGTGTGCACATTTTATATGGGTTTAAAACCTATAATTTATATGTGCCGAAAAAAGGAATGTCGTTTATTCTAATATGGCGCAAAAGGATATCGGTGGAAAACCTGCATAAGAACATGATTAAAAAACACATACAAAAATTAAATTTACATGACAATTATTCTAAAATCTGGCATTTTTAATTCTTCACATTTACTTCAAAATGATTAACACATAAATTTCCCATACAACTTATCCATATATTTCTTTTGATAATAGGTTTTTTAAGGTAACGGTATATAATATTATATTATTAGGGTTAGGCATTATTTAAAAAGTTCAATATAGTGAAAACATACTTAAAATTTATAATATTAAACCATTTTTAACAAAATATGTCAACATCTCATAATAATACTATAATAGAATTTATTTGGAATGACATAATTTGTATAAATCAATATGACACTATAACAGTGATAATATGTGTTCTTGCTCTGTACTCAATATTTTAATACAACGTATTTTTGACAAATATATATTTTTGTATTCGAGACTTATGTGCAAAGATTGTATCTTATTAAGTATTTAATATAATAATTGGTAAATATTCTCAGAACATCGCTATGCGCCGATTACAATAATGAACTAATTTAACTTTATAGAAAACCAAAATTAAGTTTTCCTCCTAAAGCTAAATTGCTATTTTCAGATAATGAGATAAGTTTAGATAACACCCTTGCGGCCTTGCTTCCTAAAATTATTATTTTATTGTTTGTTATAAATTATTATATTCAACTTTGATCGTCTTCTTGTCATGTTTATTATCAGATGCTTCAGTGTCATAAATAATAAATAATATATAAAAAATTGAGTATACATTGTGTAGTTTAAATAATTTAATGTTTTACATGAATTAAAATCAAACTATCATTGATATTTCCTAGAAAAACTAAAATATTTTAATTTTTTTTTTAACTAAAAAATATTGTTAATAATTAGGTACCTTTGAAATTGTTATTAATCCCTTATATGAGATGTGTTTTAAAATAATTGCTTCAATTATATATTGGTGTCTCTATATTGTCATAATAAAATATAAGTTATATCATATTATGTAGTATTATGTAATGTGTAAAACTATATTATTTATAGCTTATAATATATACGTAATAACTGTAATATTTACAATGTCAATAATGTCATTACGTATAGGTACTTTAGTCATAATACTATTATACATCAGTGATTTTCAAAACTTTTTTTAAACACGACACACTGCGGTGCTCTTCATAAAATGTTCACGGTACATCTAATACCCGTTGACATTTTTAAAACAGTTTTTTTAATCATTAAATAATTGTTTTTAAACCAAATTGAATAAACATATAATACAAAATATTGTAATTTTATTAATGGTTATTATATTTATTATTAATATTTATAAATATAGCATATTTTATAATAATATTACTATTTATTTTTAATGAGAAATGTGTGCTTGATAGGTTTAACAAATATCTTTAATTCTTGGACAAATAGTAGTTGACAGACATACTGACATTGCATTCTCCACTGGAATTAGATTTTCTCGTTCCTTATTTTTTATGTTTGAAAGTGCTAAGAACCCCAGTGTGCAAAGATATGAAGTTTACAACGACAAGATAATAGTGCTTTATTTTTATAAAAATATCCTGGACATTTCTAAGAAATATATATCCAGAACTCATTAAAAGGCGCCCTGTGCCGATACCATTTTGTCCTCAAAAATACACTCTGTGAAAATAACGATACCGCCTTGTAGAATCAACCAAATTTCATAATTTTTTTTCAATTGCTAGAGGGAAATATTTTACAGCCCACATTGATCTCTGTTTTTCAATATTTTATTCTCAAACTGTATAATATGTCTAAAAAAATACAAGATAAAAAGCATTTTTTTACAATTATTTGAAATAAAATACAAAATAAGAGATCGATGTAGGGTGTAGGAACTAAAATCCGACAATTCTACAAAGCTTGAGAGTTATTCCCGTAAAGTCATTTTGTTCAATATAATATACCCTATCAACCCCGCCCCTAAATAGGTATCGGGTCTTAGATTAGTGGAAAAGTCTTATAATTGAGGTGGCAACTAATATATACCATTTAATTTTCAAATTTTATAGAATTGTGGACAATTTTAAAAACTGGCACCGGGACCCTTAAGGGAATACTCTTTGAATTTCAATTGCAATGTTCGATCATTTTTAAATTGAACATTAATTTTAATCGGAAACTTTAAAATCAACCGGGTCACCAATAGATACATTGATTGGATCTCGAACCCAGTAGTAATTTTTAATATAAAGACTAGGAAAATATGTATATTCATCTTTACTTCAAAAAGCTTAAGAGGACGTCGTACCCGCATGTGTTGTCTTCTTTTCTCCGTATTACACACTTACGACAGATCAAATTTTCGTTCACCAGTTTTAATAGTGTGCTGTAAGTTTTGATAATAGAGTAAATTTACCTATAATACAATTTAAAGGTAAGATTATTACCTAGGACAATAAGTAGGCTTTTATTGATATTATAATTTTGAAGTAAGTTATGACCTTTTTGAAACTGTTCATTTTTATATGATCACAACTTACTTAAAAATAATAATATCAATAAAAGCCTACTTGAAGCCCTATATAATAAGCTTACCTTTAAATTGTTTAATAGCTCAATACAATCTAATATGAAAATTAACAGCACACTATTGAAACTGGTGAACGAAAATTTGTTATGTCGTTCGTGTGTAAGACGGAGACAACACATGTGTACGACGTCCTCTTAATCGTGTTTTTTATACAAATTGTCGATTTTTTATATTTTCGTATATCACAGTTCAATGCAATCAGTGACATACGAAGGAAAAAAATACTTCCAAAACATTGTGGAACACATAAAGATTGTTCACGAGCTCACTACACACTATAGTGTACCGAGGTACCCAGTTTAAAAACCACTGATATATTATATTATAGTCATATTATATTAATCAGTAATTACTGATTACCTAATTTACTATTCTATAGAACTTCTTAAATAAAAAAAATGTGTTATAATAAATTAGTATGTTATTTATTAACTTCAGTAATGGTTGTAAATTGTATGTGCATATATTTTAATAGTATCAGTAAATAAAAATTAATTGTAATTGTCAAATTGTCTTATTAAAAAGAACAATATACCTAGTAATAAAATAAAATTAAGAAACTTACCAAGAGATTATATTATTACTAGGATTCAAATGATTCAATACTATGAGAAGTTCCACTATAATTTATAGTACAGTATTTCTTTATTGAATATTAATTTATAATATTATAAAATGCATAAATCTAATTAATTAACCGTGTCTATTTGTTTATAGAATATTTGTTTGTCATTTAACACTGTTTATATTGTCTTATCAAAATAATCATATTCAATAATCATTACTCATTAGTATGTAATTAAATATTAGGTAATAACTAATAACCAACATTGATGTAAGTAGGTACACATAATATGCAAGTGAAATCAATTCGGTTAAAAATAATATTTTTTTGTTAAGCAACTTCGCATTTATGTTCTTGGATTAATAAATTATTTTCGACCAAGTATAGATGATGCGTGTAAATATAAAATGTATTATAACTATACATTTCACTTAACCCTTTAACCCTTTATACCCTTTTTTATAATGTACGCATTGAATAGGTTTATTTATTATTTATTACTATTCTGGTTTTCACTATTTCTAAATATCAAAAAAGTAGATATATTACACATTTGTTATTAGAATTTAGGCAATTACAATAATAGGTATATAATTTATGATATTGAATTATTATTTGAACTGTTAAACCTAGAAACCATGTAAATATGTAATTATGGTAAGATTAGATACTGCATCTACGTATATTAAAATAAAATAAAAATAAAAAACATCTTATTTATATGATGAGTTTTAAAATTCACTAAAAACGTATAAAATATCATTGATGTAAATTATAGTCACTTAGTACAATCGAAATAAGGTTTGGTATAATAATAAAAATAATATTAATAAATAAATTATAATGATACACGGAAAAAATGTCCGTATTAAATATACCTATGGGCTATATTATATTAATTAAAATATTCCTTTATTATCACATATTATTCACATATTAATTAAAGTAAATCTTACAAGTGAAATAATTCGCTTTATTTCTCAATACTTACATATTATATTGCATGTTTGAATAGATGAGTCTTGTTTTTTCTATATAGTTTTTGACCATTCAATTGGTTTGTATAACTTTAAAATTGTTTATCGACTCTTCACCGGCGTGGCCTAGGTGCATAATAAGTAATAACTAATAAGTAAATAGTAATAGGTAGGTGGTAGGTACTATCACCTAAAATTAATCAGTTACACATAACACATAAATTATGCTCTATACATTTCTTTAGGAATAATACTGTTTAATGTGCAATTTTGTAAACTAATTGGTAATTATTATTAGTAAATATATTTCATACAAAAACATTTTATATCAATTTTTTAAAACACCTAAATAATATACTAATAATATTTTTTTAATGATTAAAGTATATAATATATAGTAGTACGAATTAATTTTTAATTCATCCAATGAAATTGTATCAATATAATGTATAATTATCTCTGTATATGTAGTTGATATTTTGTAATTTTGTATGCATTAAAAAATTGTATAAAGTTCATACTTATTGAATAAATAAATTATTAATATATTCAAATACATATAGTATAATGTATAGTCAACGTTTTAATTGTTGGATTATTATTTTGTTTTTATAAACATATTATATAACATTTCATTAACTAATATATTAAACATTATTATAGATAAGACAATATCAATTTTTAAATTAAATAATTGAATAATATTATATATATATTTTTTATTTTATAGACCAATACCTCGAATTATATCAAAAATCCCAGAATCTGAAACTACTAAAATGAACCAAGAAACTTCAGAGCCTTCCGAAAACGACAAAGTATTAAAAACACACAACGATGATGATCAAAGAAGAAAACCCATGTTTTTATTTAGTGTGGATTACATATTGAATAAAGCCGGAGAGACGAATACCGAATACGATACCAACCAGCAAAATAAACAGCATTTCGACTGGTTGTATTGTACACGATTCAAGCCTCCAAAACTCGACAGTGAGTAATATTCTACACAATAATATAGATTATAGGAGTACACATAATGCACGATATAAAAAATACTAAAAATAAATACAGTAGAAAAGTGACATAATATTATCTTCACGTGGGCAGGTATAGATGACGTTGTATGAAACTATCTTTAATTATTTAAGAAAAATAATACTGAATTATCATAAAATAAATCTCAATTTAAATTTTGTTTACAACAGCGTGAAAAAGAAAACATTTATTTCAGAATAGATACGTTGTATCGTTTTTGGTTTAAAATGTAAAATGTTGACGATTGGTCTGTAAATTAAATTATTTATTTTGTGGTTCTCTTAATAGCCACTAAAAAAATTACAACATTTAGCAATAATATTTATTCCGTATATACCTATGATGTTTAATAATTGTTATTGTGAAGCTTAAGTGCACTTGTACCTAGAATATACACTCCTACGCTTTTATATTTTTTTAAATAAAAACACATGTTATAGACATTAGACACAACGAAACAAAATTGCCAATAATGCCTTTCTGTAAACATCCGGCCTAGGTATCATTTTGTATTACTATTTAATATATTGACTATTGCATTGTATTGTATTGTATTATGGAGTGACGATTTGAAATATTTAGATTAATTATGAATGAAGAAAAAAACGTATTTATTACAACAGTGAATATTTTGTCTTCAAATTTTTCTTATAAATTAATCACTCAAAATTCTTCATGTAAGAAGCTCCACTATATACAATCCACTTATAACTCTACTAAGGTAGAGCTCGCGAGAGCTGCTTTAACAAACATAGATATAAAATATGTAATAAATATATTTATAAATTGTAAAAATATTTTATAGGGGATAAAAAGTTCTTTTGTTCACAATTCATACATAGAGTAGTAAAATAATAATAATTTCCATTATTTTTTATTACAAATTAAAATATAGAATAATGGTAAACCAAAAAATATATGGTGTAAGTGGGGCTGAAGACTTCTAGTTTCTTTTCATGTTTGTCTAGAAAAGTCACAAAAAACATGAGTGATGTATAAATATTTTTCATATATCATTACACTACGTAGTACCTAAGTTACACTGTATATTTTATTTGCATATTTTGCATATACTTTGTCATTTTAATCATTATTGACTATTGTATATAGGTATACATTCATATTTGAGTAAATATTGGAAAAAATAAAACCATATTTTAACAAGTTAGTAACAGTTTTCGATATAATAAAGTTAGTTTGGACAAATAAGAACAAATTTTGAAAATTGTTAAGTGTGAAATGTTGGTATTTGAGCTTTGACAAATTAAAAATATATTATTTACACATTTGGAAAATGTAATGTTTAAAATATAATAGTAATCTACACTAATCGCAGCATATCGGTCGATTTTTGGCCCATAACACTGCAACGGTAGTGTTAATTGCTAATTTTTTAAATTTTTATAAAGTAAATAATCATTAATCAAACTATTAACAACTAACTTTTTTAATTTTCATATTAATTATATAATTTAAGTACCAAAAGTAAAGGTATACATTTTTTTAGAGCATATTTTGTGTACATACCCTTATGTTGATTTTTAGTGCATGCATATTTTTAGATTTACTAGTACTAGAAGCCCTCAGTCCTAATAGTTATAAGTTACTAACCAGTTATAACTGGTAGGTATATAATTTTGTTGTCATCTTTTATTTACCTTTTACTATTTTGAGATTATGTAAAATTATAAATATTTTGTAGTTCAATATGTGTATTATAATCTAATACTAATAATTATATGTTGTGAATGTATAGGGATAAAAAGAAAAGATGGACAAAATAGGCAGAAACGAAGGCCTGGACGTAATCCAAGGATACCATTTACCACCCAACAAGTTACGGTATTGGAACATGAATTCAGGCGGAGCGCATATTTAGGAGGAACTAATGATGTACACGTATTGTCTGACAGATTGCGACTATCGGAAAGTAGAGTGAGTACTTATATGAACAATAATATTATTTTAGTATCTGCTTCAAACTTAATGTGATCAAAATATCACTGACGAAAAAATGTTATCATCAATATAATGCAATAATGTAAACGGGAAAAAATGTATGTATATCTATCAGAATTATCTCGTTAATTTGAAAACAATGATGCACCATTTAATTTCAACAGAAAATGGTTCTAACTGGAGTACTTAAATAGTCATGATGTATGATAGTCTAACATTCGTCTGACAATTTATACAGGTCTTGCTAAAATATTCCCATTTGTTCGTAGTATACTAGTATACAAAAATTTTATCTTTCCCGATTATTTTGTAAATCATTGGAAAATGTCTACGTTTGAACCCTCTTTCTATGTACTATTAATGATTATCACCTTGGTCGAAATCTAAAAGATATTTTTTAATTCAATAACTTTTACTTATGATATGCAAATGTTAACATAAAAATAGCAGTTATAATGTTGTTCATGTACATTATATAATATACTTCCTTATATTTTATCACTTGTTGTACCATTTTAATACTGTTTGGAAGTTTTGTTTGCACAATAAATTAAGCAATACTAATCAGTCATCCGTTAAATTTTTTTTTTTTTTATGTTAAATACCTTAATGCAGATCTTGGTGATCATTTTTTGAATCCTCGTGCTTATCATTAAACACGCTGCATATATATGTTACTAACTGTCACCTGCGTGCTCCGCCCCCATGGATAGATGTTTGAAAATTGCAACGTTTTTTTTTTATATATACGAAGTGCAATTGACTGTACGCAGAGTAGTGTTAAACTGTCATAAACTTATCTTAACTTTTCCGTTAACCGAGAAAAAAATGCTGAGTATAAATGTTTAGTATACTGTGGAAGCAATATCTTTTCAAGTGTAAATGATATTCTATTTTAATGTATAGCCATCTCGACCGATATATATATATCAGTTAGGCATCTACCTATGGTAGATCGCGGACACCGTGCTGTTTGTACCGGTAGAAGACATTAGCACTAAAATGAGTTGGTATCATACGAAAGTGCAAAAATCCTGTGTACCAAACTTAATAGATATTACATTTAAAACTATAAATTATATTTTAACAATTTATTATTGAAATATTTTCATAAGATCGAAAAAATCAACCCCTAAATTAAAATTATAATTTATTAATTTCTATTATATTTATTGACAAATTTTCCTCTTAACACCATTTGTGGGGAGGCCTAGGTTTGATTTCCTGTTTTTATTTTAATAAAATTCTTAAAAATTAACAACTAAAACTACAACAATTATAACCAATAGCAACCTTACAATAAACAAAAATATATTATTATTAAGTTTATTTTTTTCCTGTACAGATGGCGCCACTGTTGTATTTTTGACATTCAGATTTTCTACTTTTCCGGTAGATTTTCCTAAAATTTTCTTTCATAAGAACCTTGTCCTGATAATTACATAACAAAAAAAGAATCAGCCAAATCGGCCAAGCCGTTTCGGAGCCAACCCGTGCCACAAAATAATATTTTGTGTATTTCTTGCTTTCAATGAAGTATGATAAATCAGATGATTTGAAGTAAAACGAATTTCCAACATTTTAAATATTCATTATGAATGTTTCAATTTTTTTTTTTTTTAAATAAATGTTTACAACTCTCACTGAAAAATCAACATTATTCTTGGATAAGAATAATATGAGCAATACACACTCTAACCAGTCTAACGTAATAGGCACCAAATATGTTTAAATATAATTGTAGCAGATACATATTACATATAAATGGATAGGGGGATCGGGTCAAAAATCTAGTGGCCGAGAAAGTCTGGTGTTCGAAAAAAAGTGATTGAAATATCATCTGGTTGAACACATTAAAAAATGTGAAAAATATAATATCAAAAAATCAAATAATCGAAATATACTATGGTCGAAAAATATATATTTTGAATTAATTATTTAAAAAATCATACAATTAAAAATTCTAAGTTTTACGAAAAATTAACTAACCTAGGTATTACTCAGTAAAAAAAAATTTATATAATTGATAGATATATTAAAATAATTGATAGATATAAGTAGGGTTAGGTACCTTTATTTAATACTTAGATCATATTTTGTATATTGTAAAAGGTCAAGTCTCACGACTATTAAGAGTGGTTTATGTGTATACATTGTGAATATATTATTTTAATATAATTACAATATAGTATAATATTATATGCATTCGCAGATCCAGAGCTCTCAACAATATTTTATTATGTTGAGTTGGTTTATGAGGTTGTAACTTAAGAGTTAAAAGGCATTGTTTAAATTTGTTATATTATAGATTTTATATATTTATATGTAAATATGTTACATATTTTCTTTGTTTCATACAATAAACCAACTTTTAAAAATGTTCACTTGGAAGTTGACGATTATAAACTTTTAGATATAATAAGAAATTTTAAAACCCTAGATATAAGTATTATTATAGATATTAGCATAAGTTCCTACTATACCTACTACCTACTACGATAAACCCACGTACAGGTTACATCGATACAAATACTAGATAATGTAATCAAAAGTCTAATAATTATCTTTACTTCAACAAAAAATCCATTCGACCACAAAACATTTCGACTATATTCATAAAATATTCAACCATTCGTTTTTCGATCAAAAAACAATTTGATCACATGCCATTTAGATCCCTTTTTTTCGATCACTCAACCTCGCACCATAAAAATAGGTGAAAAATTATTTTTCTTGAGTTTTGAATATTTTAATTTTAGTAGATTATAGTCTAATGTTCAAAATGTATTCTATAAGAAAATATATTGACAAATATGTTACTATTTAATTCATCAATAAGCGTTTACCAAAACTTAAATTTTGAAATGAAACGTTGTTAAAAATGATTAACTTGGGAACCCACACTTTTGTCTAATATTAAGTCTTGAAATATGTACCTTTTCATTAAGTATTATAGTAGCATTTTGTAATGATAATATTGGTATATTATTATAATAATGTTTTACTAATATTATAATCACGAATAATATTAGTATAATGTTATCATAATATTTTTAAACAAAAAATGTCTACCTAACCTAACCTACCATATGACTATATGAGTATAGTATGACCACTATTACAGTAATGGGTGTGTTCAATTTAAATTCAATGAATATTATTATAATATAATATATAATATTTGCTACCAAATGTTGAAGATTGAAAAAATGGTATATTTGTTTCGGCAATCACAATAAAAACCACTTCATTGTAAAATCAATATATTCCACACTCCGATCAGAACCTAAAATATGAAAACATGCTTTAAATTACTTACTAAAGAAATAATATAAGTATTTTTAATTGTAAAATCATAAGAAAATTTATTTGATCAGAAAAAAAAATGTATTGATTCGTAAATCATATAAGGGGCTTTAATGCTGAAATATCCGGAAAAATATACTTACGACCATGGTGTACCTAAATAGCCTATCCAAAACGCCGTGAAAACAATTTTTCTAATATTATCAAAACGAGATATTGGAAAAATATAATCTCAAAATGTATTATTCATTGCAAGTTAATGATATATTTTAACTGAGTTATTGATTGAAAAAATATATTTAAAATTAAAAATAATTTACATTTACTTCATCTAACGAACCGAAAATACAAAAGATTTTCGTTCAGAATCTCCGATACAGTTTTGTCATTATAGGTTTCTAAACATATATTTAGAACGCCTTATATCCCCGTTGTTTCTGTCCGTCAGTTATCAGTACATAGTTACGATTGTCGATATTAATGTATTTTATTTATCGTCCGTAGTTACTGTACATAAATTGTATATTATGGAATTATAATTTATTTATTTGTATTATAATACGTTTTGAAACCGGGAATTTAGTACTCTTGAAAATTGAGCTTTCCTAACTTGTTCACATTAATTATGTCCACAATATTTGACATGTTTCTCAGGAAATATTTTAAAATTTGTAACTTTAACTCTGAACTGGATTGCTTAACAGTTGAGACTTTGGTGCAGACGGCCCGTAGGTTTTTTTTTATTTGTGCTACGAACAGCCGATGTTCTTGACCTTTAAAAATATATCTTTATATACCAACACTAGTTGTGGGAATATAATATTTTAACAATGGTTTTACGGTATGATTTGATTGTTTTTTTTTTTAATAAAACAGTTCATAGTGAAATATTATGTATTATAATTTGTAATATTTGTTTACAGATTAAAATATGGTTTCAAAACCGGCGAGCCAGAGAACGCAGAGATCATCATAGCGGCAGTTTTCCTGGATCATCTTGCAACTCTACTAATTATTCTTCTCAACAACAACAACTTCCAATATCATCTACGTCTGCGTTCAAACCATTGATGCCTTCACACACTTATGTGGAAGGAACTGATTCTTCGTCTTAAAAATCGAACTTATAAAATATATCTTAGCAAACATAATTGATTTAACGTGAAATTTTTCCGGGAAACTTTACGTTGGATATTTTAAATAATAATTTGTATCATTGTAATATAATGTGATTTATATATAATTTCAAATTGTTCAATAGCTGACGTCCTTGTACGTTACAGGTTGTATAGATCGTTGTTTAGAATTACGTGCCATATAGGCTTGTGTGGTTTTAAATACTAAATTTGAGAACAATTTATTATATTATTTTAATTGAGTGACAAGTGTAACAACATTTTTCGTAGTACTTACCTATTTGTTGTACTTGACATTTAAAGTGTTGGATAAATTTAAAGTGTATGTAAATATTTTCAAATTTTATAAAAATAAAAATTTATTTATTGTATAAATATTACCTTGTTCTGAAACAAGGCTTTGTTAACTTATCCCAAATCTAAATCAATTTCAATATTTTGAAAATGTAGTCTATGATGATTATTTTTACAGATTTGTAATATTTTAGTTAATTAAAATAGATTTTAAATTGGAATTAGGTACCTACCATTTAAATTTTACGGGTCCTTTCATTAATGGTGAACATATTAGTTTCAAAATATTTTATTACTATCGTTTATAATAATCTAAAATTACTTATTATTAAATTTACATTTAAGACAAATTGGTATAGACAAATCTATAGGTTAAATAGCCAATATGTAGATGTGAAATTTCGCTAATTCTCACCAACATCAAATACAGAAAATCTTAACTTACGTGTTTGGGAAAGCAATATCTATATTTTTCTACCAATAAATAGGGAATGGAGAATAAATTTAAATACCCGAAAATAAAACACTTCCATCCTATATCTAAATCTGAATTCTTGAGGATCCTTAAAACGAAAGTGAATGATGTCGAAAATATTACTGAAAATATGAAACCTGGGTTCAAAGCCACTGACTTAGTTGCAAATAAAGTTGCATATCAAAAAGTCGATATTCTATCAGATCTATAGAGCAATGCAAACATTTAACATAATATGATTCACCCAAAAAACCTACAGTTAAAAAGTTTCTACTGGGAAAAGTATTAGATTAAACTGATTAGTAGATATAAATAACGATAACCACGACAATTCCGACGGCCCAATAGTATCTATAAATCGAGAAACAGTAAAAATACCTCAATCATAATATTATACTTATTTACTTATAATTATTGTTACATCTTTTTTATTAATACATTCACTGTGAGGAATTTAAACTGGGCCCGTGATTACCTTTTTTGTTGTAAACTGTGCCCGGAAATTGCAGGTAATATGAACTAATACCTAGTCGATTGTAAGCTCAGCCCGATAATTTTAATATGAAAATAATAACATTTTTATAATTTAATTCTGCTATAACGAATTCGCATACTTTTTAGTAATATGAAAATAAATCAAAATCATTTTTGGAGGATTATGAGAATGGCCTTCTCGTGGTGTCATTCTTACACGCCATTAAAGATGTGTGCATAGGACTAGGTAATTTTCCGTGATTGGTGCCAAATGGATCTCAAAAATATTATGAGATGATTATTAATTAGATTTGAGAAGATGTGGGCATATTATTTTTATTTGGGCTGAAGTTACCATCACCGTATACTGTACAGATAGTGGATGGGCCTCGGAAAGATGTATTTAAACAATAACCTAGCTGCTAAGTAAACAAAAACTGCAATCTGTTGATTTATATTATTAGTACCGTTGCATTGAGTACAAAAAAATAACACTTTTCTCTGGATAAAAGTGCAATCATCGATAAGCTATTTTTCATTTGTAAATTCATTATGAACTTTATTTAAATTTGGCTAATACTAAAAAGTTATTTATTTAATAAACAAAACGGTTGATACAATCGTTTTTTATAAAAAAAATAGTGTATTATCATTTACCATAATAGCTATACGGTCTGTTTTGTTCAGCACATCTAAAAATTATTTTGAACTGTAGTAATAGACAAATGCAGTTCATAATAGTTAAAAGGTTGAACATTTGAAACCCATCCATAATTTACAAATTATTTTTACTCCTGGTATTTGTTTGAGTTTTCAATACAACGATTGCTATATACGGTGAGTTACATAAGAACATAAATATTATCTTTGCATATCCTATTCTGTACATCTGATAAGTCTAAAGTCTAAAGTATAATAATGATTATCGTAATTATCCTACTAACTATTATATTCCTAGTCGGTGATTTACTCTAAATTTTCCGGTAAAATATATTATATTTATTATACAGGAACATTTGGACGACGTCAAAATGTTAATATTTCTCGATATGCACTCATAGTGACCGATTAAACAAACTTGTAGTTTATATTTATTATGAACAGTTTTCGGAAGTCATATCTACCTTTTTAATTGTTAAGACATAGTTTCAAACATTATCATAAAGTATTTTGAAATTCGTGATATATTATTGACGTCTCCGTTCTTCCAGTATCTATAGTTTATATACTTATATATTATATACATAATTATTTTCAACGAAGCACTGTAAAAAATGAGTACAAAGTTCTCCGACAATGTTGTGGGGGAACCTATTCCTTCGAAAAAAATAGAAATTCAAAAATATCGTACACCATGTGAAGCGTACAAAATAGACCGCAAGGATGATAATGAAATTAAGAAATCTAAAGAAAGCTTCAAAGAGAAGCCGCGCAGTGATTTGGACCAATACAAATTACAGCAGCGTATTTGTAAGCTGGACAAATTAGGTAAATCAATTCAGTCTTTACCAGGCAAACGGGTACTGGACAAAAACACGTATAGTCGGTTAAAAAATGCTGCCGTGGTGGTGACTGCGGAAGAACGGCGAATGGCTATTCAACAGCACATTGCCAACGAAGAACGGCTTAAAGCTGAAAGCGAAGCCAGGAAAGAATATTTACAAAAGTTTAACATGTTTAAGACCAAAGGGCCAAAACTTGCTCAGGTATTTGCCACATATTTTAAATTGTATAATAAATTATAATTATTTATAAAATGACAAAATACGAAAAAAGCAATTTTAATTTCTAAGCCAAATTGTTTTGCATAGAACAGTATTTTTTTTTAATGCCAAATAATAAGACCACATATTTTTTATTTATATATAAAATATAGGGACACATTTTTCATAAATTAATGTCACTCAGGAAAATCAAGCAATTGTTGGCACGTAACGTTAGAGAAATTTGCCATCCCCAAACTGACTTTATAATTTACCTATTAAAATTGTTTTGTTACTAGTGCCTACTACGTAACTTAATTTTGCTTATTTCTTTATGATACAAAAGATTATACTAACCCTCGATAAATAAGTTTTATTTTTAATAGTTGGATGAAGAAGCAAACAAAAAAACTAACTATCTACTGAATAGAGCATATGAATTAAGGCAAGAACAAGAGTACGAAATAAAACAATGCAATTCGTTAATATTGAGTACCAAATGCCATGCAATAAGATGTGCACAACTTGAAGAAAAAGAACTTATACAGTGAGTAATATAACTAAACAGCACTATTTTTACCAACGATTTTGTTTCAACAACGTATGCACTATCATAAATACAATTATAAAATTACTATCGACGAGTTGAATGAGTCAACAAACGTTTTGGTAAATTAGTTTTTTAAAAATAAATCCTAGGAATTAGGATTATATTTAGAATTTGTTTGACAAAATATTAATAAAAAAAAAAGGTTATATTAAATTGGAAAAGTTCATATATTAATACCAGGGGGTCACCACTCGCCCACTTTTCACAAAAAGACAGCTATATAAAGTATTTTAAGTATCTGGTGTTCAACCACAATGTATTTATGTAGGCACTTATACTATTTATATTATTACATGCATTATAGTAATCAATTGTATATTATCTAATAATATCCTCCTTTTATTATTTCTCTATCGGAAATTTGTACGGGTTTCATCTTAAATAAATATTTTAATTTGTATATAATGCTTAAAAGTGTGCTTAAGATTACGCACATGACCAACCTAAAGGTTGGTAGTTGGTACGATTTGGTGGGCGACCCTTGTAATAAACGCAATATAGCTAGCAATTAGCAATTAGTTTTCGTTCGTATTAAAGAGAAAACGATACCTAAATATTATAAGATGAATGACTAACTTATTAGTTATTTCTCAGAATGTAGTTAAATTAACAAAAACCAAAAATTATGCTTATTAGAAAAATATAATGTATGTAATATTGGTAGGTACATTACAACTAAAAATCAGAAATCAAGTACCTATTTTCGAGCCACTCTATCACTCTGATTATGGTTGGCTATTGGCTTTTTTTATTCTACGAACAATTCTGAAACAACGCATCTGTCATCAGCTAAAATTAGATTAGAAATAATGTATTCCTATACTTAAAATAATCAGTTTACAAAAAACCAACCTCATTTTAAATATAAATTTTAATTCACATACCATGATGGGCAAAAATTATTAAAATACGTTTTAGAAAAGAAATGAAACAAGAACAACGCAGATCGGAGCAAATCATGGAACAACAGCGTTTATTGGCAGCTAAGAAGTACGAAAAAGCGGTAGAAGCTGACAGATTAAAAAAAAAATTACAAGCAACAGAAATTGTACAACAGATGAAAGAAAATGAGATCACCAGAGAATTGGAAGCTGCTAGAGCTTCAGAAGTATACTTAATGATCGATTATACAATGTATGTGTTACAATTATTCGTTTAGGATGCAAGGGTTCGTACAGAAGCTGCAATTGAGGCTCAGCGGGCTGAAGTGATAGATTACAGGGATAAATTGATAAAACAAGCTGAGATGAGAAAAGAATTTTTACAAATTAATGCGCAGCTAAAAGACTTAAAATCAATCGAAAAAGAATTAGCCAAAGTTGAAATCTTACAGGTAGTTGTACAAAAATATATGCAATATATTATAATATGTTAAAGATAGTTTAGGTTGTATCTACATTCTACATACATTTTAAAGTGCTCC